TTTCATGATAGTATCCTAGGCCCAATGATCTTTAGCTGCTTCATCAATGACCTTCCCTCCCTCATAAGGTCAAAAGTGGGGATGTTCGTCAACAATTGCACAAATGTTTAACACCATTCACACCTTTTCAAATTGAGGTAGTCCCTACCCATTTTTAGCAAGACCTAGACCAGAATCAAACTTGGGCTGAAGAGTGGCAGGTTTGTATTACACAAATGCCAAGCATTAGCTATCTCCATCAAGAGAGAATCTAACCATTGCACCTTGGTGATCAATTACCATCATTAAATCCCTAGAAATCAACATCCCAGGGTTATCACTGACTAGAAGCTGAACTGGACTTGCCATATAGTATATATATTATATACAATGTGGCCAGAAGAGCAGGTCAGAGGCTAGGAATTCTATAGCAAGTAAGTCACCTCATGTCTCCCCAAAGCCTATCCACCTTTTACAAGGGACTTCAGAGAAGTTGTATCCATTTCACTAAGCTATCTTCATGACAACACTTTTATTCCAAGGGTCAATCTAATGAAGCTTTATCACACTCTCTGCAATGTGAGGACATCCTTCATTAGGTTCGGAGACCAAAATTGTGCACAGTAATCCAATGTTGCCCCACCTAATCCCAATTAACTAAGTCAGGTTTGTAAGTAGAGACAAATGTACACCAATCACACATAATGCTTATCTTGACTAATTCAATTCCATAAATGTGGAGGGCTTTTATGGCACATCGCTAGTGTCCTTACCTCTGAGTAAGGTGCCCAGGTTCAAGTCCCACCTGCTCTAGAGGTGTCCTAGACAAGCTGATTGAAGAGGCCAAAATGTTTGGGGTGAGGCTTGCAAGAATTGAATCATCCCAAAATGCCTCTTTGAGTCAATGATAATAATTATCTAAGTCCTCTTCTGTCTTCTTTCTGCAATTCCTGTGAAAGTACTTCTAACCTTATTAGACAGAAGGTCATTGATGAATCAGCTAAAGATGACGGTCTAGGACACTAATCTTGGCAATTTTCTGTATTATCAGGCAGGTGCTGGTGATGTAGCTGTGGTGGAAGAGCTTGGCAAAATGCACAGTTAATTCTAGAGCACGTGTTTTCAGTATTACAACTGTTGTCATTAACCTTTCTGTATCCAACATGCTTGTCTTTTCTTGGTGTCATGTGGACTTGAATTATCTGAGACGATGGGGATGTTAGGGGATGCTAAGATGGATCATCCGTTCAGCATCACTTTGAAAATGGTTCTAATGGTTTTAGACTGTTACACTGACGTGCTGGACTCTGCCATCGTTGATGATGGCAAGTTCATGGAGCCTCATCCTCTGGCTAGTTGTTTAATTATCCACCAGCATTCATGACTGGATGTGGCAGAGCTACAGAGATTCGAGGTGATTCGTTGATTGTGGGATCATGTGACTCTGTTAATAGTACATTGCTTTCGTTCTTCAGGCTGTCCTTTTGTAGCTTTTATGGTACAGATGAAGAGCTTTGAGAGTAAGAACTTAACTCAAATATTTGAAAAGCAGCGACATGTAGTGAGAAAATTTCTCTCAACTCTGTTCTTCTACTGAAGCAGTTTAGGGTGGTTGTGACTATAGGAATCAGTGATCTTTTAGGCAATTGTTCTTTGAAGGATTTGGACTACAAAACTCTTCCTATATAATTATTATAGCGGGATATGAGAATAACTTGATTTACTTGGTGAGCTGTTTCAGTCTGGACTGCGATGCCTGAAAGGATGAAACAGATTCAACAGTAACATTTTTAAAAGGGATATTGGATAAACGTAGAGAAGGAGCCGGGGGGGAGCGGGACCAATCGGACTGCTCTTTCGAAGAGTCAGCAGAGGCATAATGGTCAAATGGGCTCTCCTATACTTTATGATTCTATTAGCAGCAGATTTTCAGAAAGATTAGCAGGTCAGACATGAATGGTTTAGCTTGTTGTTCCATCTCTTGCTGTGATCCATTCTCCATGCAGAATCCAACACAAAGATAGAAATTTGATAGGTTAGTGAAGATTATATGAGCGAAGTTCTTAGGTCAAAAGCAGTTATATATCCAATCAAAGACATTTATAGTTAATACTGCATGAGCTGCTAAGCATAGGTCCTTTGTTATCGCTTCCTTGCAGACTCCCTCTGCTGGTACATGTCTATATAGTAGCTTCAAGTGAATAAAACACACAATGCAGTTTTCAATACACTAAAATAAGGATTTTCCTCCTGGTTTGTTGAAAGGTCTCTCGATGTGTGGTTCCTCATCATCACATTTCTTTTCAACTGCAATCATATCAGAAAACCCAAGCGAATATCCTAAATAATTACGTTTTAATTGATTAGCTCCATAATGAAGTTTATTACCTAACTGGTAGAAGGCAAGCATTTCTGAAACTCTCCCACGACTATCGGGATCAAATGTGAAAATTCTGGAGAAGACTCAACATCTCAAGGCAGAGTCTACGGAAAAAAAAAAGAGTTAAATTTCAAGTTGCACAAAAACAAAAGCAAAAGGCTGCAGATGCTGGAGATCTGAAATAAAATGGAACGTGCTGGAATTGCTTACAGGAATGGCAGCAGCTGTGAAAGAAAAACCAGAGTTAATCTTTCAGCATTCTGATGGAAGGTTCACAGACCTGACAAACTCCTCCTGTGCTGTTCTGGCGCTGAGGTGAATGGCATCCAGCAACCACAACCATTTTTTTTGTGCCAGTTATGACTTCAACTAGTGGAGAGTTTTCCCCTTGATTCTCATTGACTTGGCTTGTGATAGGAGAATTAATGAAGTGTTCATCATAAATGGTATTTTGATCTTGACATTAAGCAAGAAAGCAACAGTTCAAAACATATCTCATCAAAAACAACACTACTTTTGCAATAGAATTAGAATTTGAATTAATTTTATTGTCACATGCACTCACATGAGTACAGTGAAAAGCTTACAAAGTTGCTGCTTACAGTGCCATCTTAGGTACAGAGGTATCTTGGTACAGATTCTTAAGAATAAATTAGAAAAATAAAGAAATTAAAAAGTTCATCATTACAGACATTCACGCTATCCTAGGTATGAAAGGTATCAAGGTACAAAGTCTCGGGAATAAATTAGGTGAATAAAGAAATAAAAAGTTCAGAATTATGGTCCTTCCAGTCAGAGATGGAACGGATGAGTCTGCACCAGGCCTCACCTTGGGTCCATGCTGGGCCTCTCCCCCAGTCCGCACGGGGCCTCTTCCCCCAGTCCGCACGGGGCCTCTTCCCCCAGTCCGCACGGGGCCTCTCCCCCAGTCCGCACGGGGCCTCACCTCCAGACCATGCTGGGCCTCACCTCCAATCTGCACTGAGTCTCACCTCCAGACCGTGCCAGGCTTCAGCTCAAGTTTCTTCAGGATAGGAGTCCATGCTGGCTTCACCTCGAGGCTGTCAATGGCGAGGGTCAATGCTGAGGCCGGGAGTCTGCTCTGGCTTCTCTCAAGGGCTGGAGTCTGTGCTGGCTTCACCCTGGACATTACTGATGTCGCCTGAGGACAGGAGGTAAGAAGAAAGAAGGAAACAAAACATGAAATAAAGGGAAAAATGAAAACAAAATGGATGGAGCAAATGAGCTCCGGCTCAGCAGTCCTACTCCGTCACCATTTTGGCTTATTTATGATATTATACTAATCACCAGCCAAATAAAAAAAATGAAGGTCCAAATATTCATCAGTGTAAATGATTGAAACTCTTGTGTTTAACTGGAGTTTCAAAGCATCTCTCTGTTCTCTAACAACAAAATTGTCTAACCAGATATACCCGCTTGCCAGTGCAGTATTCAGGGAATGCTGCAGTGTCTGAGATGCAGTAGTTTGGATGAGATTTTAAGATGACGCCCTCTCAGGATGATGTAAAAGATCCCATGCCACTTTTTCATCGAAGAGGAGGAGGCATTCTCCCTGGGAGAATTTATCCCTTAACTAACATCACAGAAACAGATGATCTGACCATTTGTCACTGTTCGTAGGAATTTGCACTGGCTGCTGTTTTTTATACATTACAACACTTCAGAAGTTTAACATTGGGCTGTTAAGCATTTTTGGACATCCTGAGACTATGAGTAAAAGGATCTGCAGAAATACACATCTTTGTATTGTCAAACGCACAATTAATTTACAATCTAAGTTGATTTGGAATGATACTGATTGGAATCCCTTTCAAAGCAGTGCTATGGTCAGAAGTGAGATTTCAGAGTTTTCTTGCCAGATGTGGTGGCTTAGCAGCTGATGTAGTTCTTTTTTTGTCCAACTCATTCCTCATCCAGTCCCTAAAGCTGTCTGCTCACATGTATAGGACTAAAGTTATAGTAAGAAATAAAACATGTTTTGAGAAGGCTTCTTAAAGTGCCTGTGTTTAATGGAATGTGTCAATCTCTTGCTCTAGTTATCCTCTGGATCGATTGGGAATTGAGTGCATTCATCAAAGTTACATTTGGTTTAATTAAAAAAATACCTTCTTGACTTGCATAGCAGAAGCCATCTGGAAGAAGTACCATTGTCCAAGGTGAAACTGAGCTATTTAACAATTGGAACTGAAAAGTAGCCAAAATGTTTTCAATTAAAATGGCACTCTCGGTTACTGGTTTTGCCAGACATATGGGATCAATCAGGAAGTTTGTGCTGATGTTTTCTTTGGGAATGCTGATAGCTTGACGCATAAGTAACAGCGACAAGGAATCTCAGTTACTCCAGCAGTATTTTTTTTTGAAAAACCCGCCCCTCTCCTTTACTGCTTTAGTGTCAGACTCAGAGAGACACTCAAAAGTTTCATCCTATCACAACCTGACTTCTGTACTGGTCTCCAGAGAAAGCGCAGTTATAAGAGAGAATTTTCAGAGAGAGAGAGAGATTGTTTTGCCTGTTTCCATTTTCCAGAAGAAACTGTTGCAGAAAGTCCTGGGAGATTTTGTGAAGATTGAATTATTAATTTTATTCTTTGTTTTTAATCTGTTTTTACTTTGTTAAATAATGCGGCTGGCTGGGACACTCTTCGTGTTTCTGCATGCTGCTTGCTGTCTTGCCTCTTATCACCCATTTTCTTTTCAAAGGAGCTTCTTAAAGGGAAAGACCTTTGAGTTGAAAGAGCATCGCAACAGCTTGGCCACAGCTACCAACAGGGTGCTAAAGCTGGGCACAGTCTTCAAACGCAACGTGCGCAAGCTGAGAGAGAAGAGTCTCAACCTGGATTTGGTCTTTCTGGTGGATGAGTCCTCCAGCGTGGGCAGTGCCAATTTCGACAACGAGCTGAAGTTCGTCAAGAAGCTGCTGTCGGATTTCCCGGTGGTGCCTTCCGCCACCCGGGTGGCAATTGTGACCTTTTCCTCCAGGAGCAATGTGGTGCCCAGGGTCGACTACATCTCGGCCCCCCAATACCACCAGCATAAGTGCTCTCTGCTGAACGAGGAGATCCCTGCCATTAACTACAGGGGAGGTGGCACCTACACCAAGGGAGCTTTCCAGCAGGCAGCAGTAAGGCACCCTCCTGTTTACCGTTCACTTCTCAAATAGGGTACAGCAGTTAGTTACTTGACCTATTGCTATGAGAGGAATGTGGGGTTGAAAACTAACACGATGCCTTGTTGAAATGTAAACATCCACTGACATTCAGGGGTTTGAGGGAAAATGTTCCCTTTAGCTCAGCAGCTGAGTAATTTAAAGTGAACACCTTTATTGCTTTTTAATTCGAGGTTAACAAAGTCAAAACTGTAGTCCTTGTTTTAGACAGGTTTACTATTGCAGAAGAAAGGCCATCCTGTATTCTACTTTGCCCATTGACCAACATCACCTCCCTCGATTTTAATAGTGTCGGCCCTCCCTTTCTCTGAAACCTCCTCCACCACCACAAGCCTGCAAAATCCCTGCATTCCTTTAACTCTGATCTTTTGTGGACTGGCATTCCCTCTCCTAACCTCTCCACCTCTCTACCTTTCTCTCCTCTTATAAGACATTCCTAGCGCTATTGCTCACCATTCTTAGGTAATGCCCCTGTGTGGTTCTGTGACCAAGTTTGTTTGATAACACTCCTATGGACCTTTTATGATGTCAAAGACACTGTTTAGTTTTGGTTGATGTTGTCTCATGTCTGTTTGTGCTGGCTCATGGAGGCAACATATTGGTTTGCAGCCTCTAGTCTGCCCCACATGGATTGTGAAAGTCTACTTTAGGCGGGGTTGACAGTTACAAGTTGTGCGCTATCTCACAATCCTTTAAATTGCCTGGCTGTGAGGATAAAACATGTTTTTTCTAATTTTTTTGCGAGATCCAGAACAGAATGTAATACACAGACATGGCTAGCGCTTGAAGCTGAGGAAGCAAAAAGACAGTGTGTTTCTGACTCTCTCAATGAGCTTCATACAGTCACCAGCTTATGAATTAAAATTGTTTGATGCACTATTAGAGTACAATATGATATTGTTACCAAGAAAGTAGAAAACAAACCAATAGGTGTCCACTGGGTATCAGTTGGTAACGCAATGTTTGTGTGTCAAAATCTTGTGTGTTTTAAGCATCATCCCAGGAATCTAACCATGAAATCTATATTGATATCTTCTGTTCTGCACTGACAGAATAGTGTACTGTTAGATGGACTATCTTTCATATGAGATGGGGTTCACAGGTGCACAAATAGGATCCCTCTGGCATTATTTCACTCCTTCAGGGGAGACCCCTGGCCAATATTTATTCCGCAACACCTAAAACAGAAGTCACTTGATGGTGTAGAATTTAAATGTTGCTAAGAAGAGAAGATTTTTGTCTCAGAATAACATTTTGCTGATGAGTGCAAGATGCGACATTCCAGCAACATGTCTGTCATACCCAATAGCCCAATAATTTGCCAAGCAGCAGCCTGCTGTGTTCATCCTGCTGTACACCATGTTATCTCAGATTCTCCAGCATCTGCAGTTCCTACTATCTCCAGCCCAATAATTTGGTTTTCTTTTATGTATTTGCTGTTTGTGGGAGCTTGCTGCACATACATTGAACCTTGTGAATGCAGCAGCCAAACACTTGAAAAGGACATAATTAACTGTAAAGTGCTTGGGATGGGTGTGGTCACAGAATGTGATTCACAAATACACAGCTCTTTTACATAATAGGACGTCACAGACATCGAACAATCTCATGAATATAGGCTTGAGAACCAGGGAGGACTTCTGGCTTTTCTTCAAATTAGGGTCATGGGATTTGTTTGTGCACCTGAGAGAGAAGACAGGGCCTCAGTTTAACTTCTCCAGAGGACACCAAAACCCGGTTTATGTGCTCAGCTAGCCAAAGGAGGCTTGAAGTTTCAACCATTGGACTGAGAGGCAACAGTGCTACCCAATGTGACATGGCTAACAGTGAAGTTTTTGTTAGTTTCATGATTGCGGGTCCTGTTAGGGAGTTAGACTAACTCACTAAAGGAGCAATCAATTTATGTTGCATGGTAAAGCTGGCTGGAAAGTTGTGAGTAGGATACCCACAAGTTCTTGAAGTAAGCTTTCACTATGTCAAGTTAACTACCCATGAACATAAGAACAGGTGGAGGCCATTCAGCACCCTCTGCCACTATTCAGTCAGTTTCGTTACTTATCTAAATCTGAACTCCAGCCACATTTGTGCTGATTCTATAATCTATTCCATAACTTATTCCCAACAAATCAATTTCAATTTTAATTGACCTCCCCCATCGGCCTCAACAATTTTTAGTTTATAATGTGGGTGGATAGGAAAAGAATGTACTACTTGGAACTGGGGTGGTAAACCAGATCCAATATTAACTTTCAATTGGAAACCAGATGAAGACAGCATTTACAGGGCAATGAGGAAAGGGCCAGGAATATGAGACTAAGTGGACAGGCTCTCCCAAAGAGACAGAACGAGCATGATGGACCAAATCGTCTCCTTTGTGCTGTGTCAAACCAGATATTTTCCAGACCAATCTGCTCGATGATGTTATTACATACCTCTGGAGCAGGTGGAACTTGAACCTGGGCCTCCTGGCCCCATGCTGTGTCATTCATGGTTGATTGCAAAACTTTGCAGTTGCAGCCCACTGGTTCAGACCCTATTTCTGAGTTTTCCAGGAGGAAGGCCCAGCCAACTGTCCGTCCACAGCCTGCTGACCATAAATGCTATTCAATTTGTCCCACACAGCTGTCCTTTCCCAAACATTTACCCTTCAGGTAGTTGTCCAATCGCCTTTTGAAAATAATGGCAGAGCTGCCTTTGCCACTCCTCAAGCAGTGCATTCCAAATCCTAACCCCTGGTTGTGTGAAAAAAAAGTTATCACAACAGCATGTTACGAGTATTCTGTGCCTGAAAATACAGATTCAAAGGAATAATAATGTGATGTTGTCAAATGACAACAATGAGTACTTCTGCGCTTGTTGAATAATGCTATATTACTAACTGGACGGTACAGTGATACTTGGCAAAGATTATTATTTGAATACTTAATATATTTCTATGAAGGAGCCAATGGTGTAGTGGTAATGTCACTAGATTAGTAAAGCAGAGGCCCAGGTGAATGATTGAGGGAACTGGTTCAAATTCTACTATTGCAGCTGGCAAAATTTAGACTGAAATAATAAAAAAAACTGATAATATATCTAGTCTGAGGAACCTATCATCAATTATCATAGTAGTTAGGAAATCTGCCATCTTTACCTTGGCTGGCTTACACTTGACTTCAAGTCCAAGGTAATGTAGTTGGTTCTAAGTTACTGTTAGAAGTGATCTAGCAGGGCATTCACTTTAAAGACCATTAGGGGGTGGACAACAAATGCTGACCCTGCCAGTAATGTCCATGTATATGTCCAATAACTTTATCTGTAATTTCAATAACCTCAGTCCATTTTTTTTTAAAAGTGTGAAGTAAATTCAGTTAAAATAGCAACAATATATTGTTTGAATTTTAACATTCAGGTACAGGATGAATAGCTCACAAAGATTGTGACTGAAAGTTTCCTTTGCTTCTATCACCTCACATTTCAAGACTATAGGTTTTTAAATTTCTATTCCTGAATGCCCTCTTTCCTCAATTTCTGTTCATCAACTTGCCCGTTCGGTGATATGGGCTGTATTGTGTAATCTGTGCTCCACTTTGATGAGAATTGTATTCCCTTGATTAGTTCCTAATGAAGAAGTCCTGATCTTATCCTGCCTGTCACTGGTGTGAAATGAATGAAAAATGATATTTCTCCATGTTATAATCCCAAATATGATCCCATACTTGTTTGGTCCCAAATTTGATATGATCCAGTTAGAGATTGTTATTTCCTTCTTTAAACTGGTGAAATTTGAAATCCCAGTTAGTCACTAAAAGAATAAAGCCACACAAGATTCCATGGTTTAAAACAAACAAAAGAAATTTTATGATTTACAAGTCAATAAAGCAAACAGTAAATACCCTCTACCTTATTCTCTAGCATCCAGAATTAATATGAGCTAATTATGAATTAAAGGCAAACTGTAGTGTCAAACCACACATTGAATGGCAAACATAACCAAGACAGATCCCACAAATTTCTCCACAACTCACCCAGATATCAGTGAGTCACACCATTTATTTTCTTTCAGCTCTTTAGATGACAGCTTCCTTCTAGTTCCATTGAGCTAATTAGTACTCAAAAACTTCCCACAGACCCAACTGCCTTGCAGGACAGAGCCAGCAACCTTCTTCCCTCCCATAGACTTCAATGAGGCACACTGCCCAGCACCCAGGACCTTCAACTGCCTCATCAATAGGACTTTAGTTGCCTGAAGTCTCTTCACCACCCGTTATCAGCTAACTCTTCACCAAGTGTTGTTCAATGACCCTTGAACTGAACTGTGTGGCCTTTTAGAATATCCCAACGGGTCCTGCTCTGATTTCTGGGCAGAGTTGAATATAGCAACAATTAGAATATTTTGTGCCTTGAATGTTACAATCTCCATTCAACCAACTGCTAATCTACACTGCTGTTAATGTACAAGAACACAGGGACAAAGTAGAAAATAGATGCCCTCACATCCATGAGGAGTAGGTAAGGCAGATGAATTTAGGGATTGGATTAGTACCTGGGAGTATGATGTTATTGCTATTACTGAGACTTGGTTGAGGGAAGGGCAAGATTGGCAACTAAATGTCCCAGGATATAGATGTTTCAGGTGAGATAGAGAGGGAGGTAAAAGGGGTGGAGGAGTTGCATTACTGGTCAAAGAGGATATCACAGCTGTGCTGAAGGAGGGCACTATGGAGGACTCGAGCAGTAAGGCAATATGGGCAGAGCTCAGAAATAGGAAGGGTGCAGTAACAATGTTGGGGCTGTACTACAGGCCTCCCAACAGCGAGCGTGAGATAGAGGTACAAATATGTAGACAGATTATGGAAAGATGTAGGAGCAACAGGGTGGTGGTGATGGGAGATTTTAATTTTCTCAACATTGACTGGGATTCACTTAGTGTTAGGGGTTTAGATGGAGCAGAATTTGTAAGGAGCATCCAG